TCCTCCTCCTCCTCCTCCTCCTCGCCGCTCTGCATGAAGCCGCGTGCTGCCTGGGCCCGCGCCCGACGTTCGCCGTGATGGCCACCGCTGGGCTCGCCGCGCCTCCTGAAGCCAGCAGCGCGGACGCTGCGCGCCGAGGGGCCCTGGAGGCCGCCCGCGGCGCGCTCCTGGCGGCTCACGCCGCCAGCGGGCCGGCAGGGGAGGCGTCGTCCCGTGGCGGGACGCGCCTCCTGCGTGCGGCGGAGGGCATGCTGAGGGCGGCGATCGTCGATCTCAGCCAGCCCCGCCGCCCTGCGCTGGCTCGAGAGCCCCAGCGACCTCCTGGAGCTGCTGCCGACGCTCCCGAGGCGGAGCCGCGGCCGCCAGGCGCCCCCGCGCCTCGGCGGAAGCGCCGCCGAGGGCGTCGTCGGCGAGGCGCCGCCGCTGCTGCGGCGAGGATGGACGTGGAGGGCGAGACGGCGGAGGCGGGCGGCGGGACCGGCCCTGGCACGGCGGCGGCCTCTCGCGACCTCGGGGACGGCGACGGCGACGCCTCCCTTGGCGACGACAGCTGGGCCGACGGCCTGGCCCGCGGCGCACCACCCGCCGCCGTAGCGGGAGCTGCTGGCAATGGTGCGTCGTCGACTCCTGCTGGCAGGCCGCTGGCGCACCCGCGTTGGGTGCTCCCTCGGCGGTTCCCGCGGCGGGGTAGGCAAAGGGCGAGGCAGTGCGCGCGTCGGAGCCGTGGTGGGTTGGCTTCGGTCGGCAGCGGCCGGCGCTGGCGGCGCGGCTCCGCCTTTCGCCCGACGCGCTGCTCGGGCCCCTCCTGGACGCGGTGCAGGCGCAGGGCCTCACGCTCTCCCCCGAGGAGCTCGCGTTCGTCCTGGAAGCCCACCTGGTCCTCGAGGCGCCCCGCGGTCTGCTGCCCGTGTGAGGGCGAGGATGTGCCGCCAATGTGGCGCCCCGCGGGGCCACCGCCGCGCCAGGAGGCCCCTGCCGCCCCCTCCTGGCTACGGGCAGAGGCGAGGAGCGGGCGGACGCGCCGCTGGCGCCGCCGTGAGGGCGGGGAAGTGCCGCGAGTGCGACGCCCCGCGGGGCCACCGCCGCGCCTGGAGGCCCCTGCCGCCCCCTCCAGGCCGCTGGCGGTGGCGAGGAGTGGGCGGACGCGCCGTCGGCGCCGCCGGTGCCGCCGCGCGCGCGGGCCTCGACGGTTCGGGGTGTGCCCTTAAACCCCCCGCCTTGCGAGGCGTGCCCCTGCCCGACGCTCACCGTCGGCGCGCAGCGGGTCCATGGTAGACGGTCCAATACCTCCCCTGCGATCCCATTTTGGGGGAGGGGTGGCGCGGGCGGCCATAGGTGCTCAAGACACGACATCTGGGACCCTGGCGGCCGTCTGCTAGCAGACGGCCGCCCAGGGCCTCTTTGATGATGGCCCATCCAACCATCCCTCCCTCCATCCACCCACCCACCCACCCACCCATCCATCCATCCGCTCCTCCTCCTCCTCCTCCTCTCTCCTCCTCCTCCTCCTCCTCCTCCTCCTCCTCCTCCTCCTCCTCCTCCGCCTCCTCCTCCTCCTCCTCCTCCTCCTCCTCTCTCCTCCTCCTCCTCCTCCTCCTCCTCCTCCCCTCCCCCCCCCCTCCTCCTCCTCCCCTCCTCCTCCTCACTCTCCTCCTCCTCCCTCTCTCCTCCTCCTCCTCCTTCCTCCCTCCTCCTCCTCCTCCTCCTCCTCCTCCTCCTCCCTCCTCCGCCTCCTCCTCCTCCTCCTCCTCCTCCTCCCTCCTCCTCCTCCTCCTCCTCCTCCTCCTCCTCCCACTCCTATTCGAAGCAGGCGTAGCGAGCGCGGCGGCGGCGACGAGCAGGCGGGGCGCTAATGTGTACTCTTTGTCTTGGGCCGCGAGCGGCCCGCACAGGTCCCGCGCCGCGGCCCGAACGCGCGCCTGCGCCTGCTGGAACTTCTCCTGCGGGGGGAGGACTCGTCGTGTCGTCATCGTCGCGTTCTTCCTCCTCCTCCTCCTCTCCTCCTCCTCCTCCTCATCATCATCATATCATCATCATCATCATCCCTCATCATCATCATCATCATCATCATCATCATCATCAGCAGCAGCATCATAATCATCATCTCATCATCATCATCATCATCATTCATCATCATCATCATCATCATCATCAGCATCATCCATCATCATCTCATCATCATCATCATCATCATCATCAGCAGCAGCAGCATCATCATCATCAATCATCGTCCATCATCATCATCATCATCATCATCATCATCATCATCATCATCATCATCATCATCATCATCATCATCATCTTACTCCTCTTTCCTCCTCCTCCTCCTACTCCTCCTCCCTCCTCCTCCTCCTCCTCCTCCTCTCTCCTCCTCCTCCTCCTCCTCCTCCTCCTCCTCCTCCTCCTCCTCCTCCTCCTCCTCCTCCTCCTCCTCTCCTCCTCCTCCTCCTCCTCCTCCTCCTCCTCCTCCCTCCTCCTCCTCCTCCTCCTCCTCCTCCTCCTCCTCCTCCCTCCTCCTCCTCCTCCTCCTCCTCCCTCCTCCTCCTCCTCCTCCTCCTCCTCCTCCTCCTCCTCCTCCTCCCTCCTCCTCCTCTCCTCCTCCTCTCCTCCTCCTCCTCCTCCTCCTTCCTCCTCCTCCTCCTCCTCCGCCTCCTCGTCACATCGTCATTGTCATCAGCAGCAGCAACAGCATCGTCATCGTCATTGCCATCGTCATCGTCATCATCTGCATTATAAGCAGCATCATCATCATCATCATCGACATCATCATCATCATCATCATCATCATCATCATCATCATCATCATCAGCATCATCATCATCAGCATCATCATCGTCATCAGCAGCATCATCGTCATCAGCCTCATCATCGTCATCAGCATCAGCATCTGCATCAGCATCAGCATCAGCATCAACATCAGCATCATCATCATCGTCATCGGCATCATCAGCAGCAGCATCAACATCAGCATCAGCTTCATCATCATCAACAACATCATCCTCATCAACATCATGAGCATGAGCAGCAGCAGCATGGACAGAAGCAGCAGCAGAAGCACCAGCAGCCACAGCATCATCATCATCGCCATCATCAGAATCCTCATCAGCAGCAGCATCATCATGTCCAGTATAATCCCCGTCGCCATCAACCAACATCATCAGCAAATCATCATTACCAGCAGCATCAGCATCATCAGCATCATCAGCAGCATCATCATCAGCATCATCATCAGTGCCATCGTCATTATGATCAGCAGCAGCACCAGTATCATCGGCATCATCGTCATTATCAACGAGAATCAGATCAGCATCGTCATCGCCATCGGCATCATCGGCATCATCGGCATCATCATCAGTATCATCAGAATCACCATCAGTACCCTAGCCATCATCATCATCATCACCATCATCAGCATCATCATCAGCACCATAAGCACCATCATCATCATCAGCATCATCATCAGCATCGTCATCATCATCATAATCATGATCATCATCAGCATCATCATCATCAGCATCATCATCATCATCACCATCATCATCCTCATCTTCATCAGCATCATCATCAATAGCATAATCATCAGCATCCGCACCCCCATTAATCATCATCATCAGCAGCAGCATCATCACCAGCATTAGAATCACTAGGATGATCACCTTCAGCCATCAGCAGCATCATGAGCATCATCATCAGCAGCGTCACCATCATCGTCATAGTCCTCGTCGTCATCATCAGCATCACCAGCATCCGCATCAGCATCTTATTCGTCATCATCATCGTCGTCGCCAGATTCTCATCATCATCAGCACCATCAGCATCATCAACATCATCACCATCAGCATCATCATAAGCATAATCAGCATCACCAGCATCATCATTTCATCCTCATCATCCTCATCCCCATCCTCATCATAATCCTCAGCATCATCATCAGAAGCATCAGCGTCATCATCATCATCATCATCATCATCATCATCATCATCATCACCAACATCAGCATCATCGTCATCGTTATCATCATCGTCATATCCTCTGCCCCTGGGATAGCGCCACAACCAGGATCGCGCTCGTCATCCTCCTCCTCCTCCGCCTACTCCTCCTGCTCGTCCCGGTGTTTGGTCGACGCCAGGAAATGAGGCGAGCGAGAAGATCTCCGCTGCGCTGTCGGGCCGGTCTGGACCCCATCCTTCACCAAGAGAAGGAAGGAGAAGGAGAAGGAAGGAAAGAGAACTTAGGAAGCAACTCCTGGAAGGCCTCCGTGAGAACGATCGAAGGTTCTGAAGCCTCACTGCGGGGCCAGCAAGCCAGATTAGCCCAGATTAACCCCAGAACAAGCCAGATTATGCCAGAATAGTCGGGATTGAACGGGATCGTGCTGGGCTCGGCCGATTTACAACCACGGATGAACCATCGCCGATGATGAATTTCCCCTCCCAGGAGTTGCATCCCACGAGAAGGGGGCGGGAGAAGGAGGAAGCAGAAAATGGCGCGAGAGATGAGGTATTCCAAGAAGCCTCTGGGCACTTCGGAGAAGGCCCCCTTGCCTTCTAGGAGGCCCTCCACCCTCTCCGAAGGCCGCCCCCCTCGCCACACCCCCTGCGAGGCGCCGCCGAGGGGGAGGCGAAGGCTGACGCGGAGCGTTCCAGGAGAAACTTCTGGGCGGTGGTCGGTGGTCGTTCGGCTGTTCCCGACGGTGTCGAAAGGTTTCTGAAGGTCGGCCCACCCCCATCCTCCCTCGCCCCCACACGAGCAGGAAGGGCGGGTCGTACGAGGACGTCACTCGTGATGGCTGCATTACCACGAGAGCTTCTACGCCACCGCCTCCTGAAATCCTCCCCGTCTCCGTCTCCCTCCTTACCCTCCTCCCCCTGCTCCTCCCCCTCATCCTCCTCCTCCAACCCCTCCTCCTCCTCGTCCTTCTCATCACAAGTATCTTCCCTCTTGCCCTCCTTAACATCACATGTTGAGTCCCAAGTCTTTCCAGCCAGTCGTCGAAGTGATGCAGATCGTGCTTCTTCAGCTGCAACATCCGCTGGTACTGGAGCGCCACATGCCTCTGCCGCAGCTGCCTGCACATCTGGCGGACAGCGGTGCCGTTCTCACCTCGAGAAAGGGGGAGGGGAAAGGCGAGGACAGCAAAGCGAGGAGGCAGTGAAAAAAAGGAGCAAGGAAGTGTACCTCAGCACGAACGACACAGGATCTACTATTGGACATCAGCCTTGAAAATGGTTCCCTAAGAACTGGGCCCGCATGCTGGGGCCAGGCTGGTGTCTCCATCAGGTTGCGCGGTGGGTTGCGCTGCCAGCAGCTGGGCCGATGCGCTGCGTCTGGCCATGGTCGCCATGCGGCTGCGCGGTGGGCTGCGTGGCGGGTTGTGCGGTGGATCGCGCGTCGCTCGGTTGCGCGGTGGGTTGCGCCGTGAGTTGCTCGGTGGGTTGCGCGGTGGGTCGCGCGGTGGGTCGCACGGCGGAATGCACGGTGCGGCGGGCAGTGGGTTGCACAGAGGCTCGCAATGGGATTGCACGGTGGGTTGTGCGGTGCACTGCGCGGTGGATTGTGCGATAGGTCACGCGGTCGGTCACGGGGTGGGTCAGGCGCTGGGTTCCCGGCCGGTCGATTGGCACCCCACAGGTTGCACCCGAAAGAGTGCACCACGTAGACTGCACACTGCACACCCTCGAGGGCACCCCATAGACTGTAGCCCCACAGGTTGAAGCCTGTCATCAGGTTGTACGGGGCCACTCTTTGGGGTCCGCCTGCCAGTATCATGCATCATGGAACAAGGGCGTCCTGTGCGAAAACTCTGTTCGGAGAAGGTCGCGATCTTATGGCACAACGAAAAGACCGTATTCAGGATTCGTGTGCCCGAGCCACAGACTGATGACGAGTGGAGGACGGGGGGACCAGGGACACGATGAGACGCGGAGGACAGAGACCTCAGCAGAGATGGTCAGGCCGAGCAAGCCGACTTGCTGGGAGGGGGAGAGGAGTGAGAATACGAGCTGTGCGTGCGGTGGCTGTGGACGTTCTGGGGGAGAAGATGCCCCCATTCGTCGCGTCCCTCCTCTACTACTGTCCTCGAGTGGCCTCAAACGTTGCGCTGCGTCTCGCTTGCCTGTCTGCTCTGCGTCCCCGCAATAGACCCCCGACGTCGTTCTTTGCTTACGACGCGGGCCCTCCAGGCGCTAGAACCCGTCCCTGAGACTCATTTCGGTGCGGGTCGGTTCCCGGCAGCCCAGGGGCCCCAAAGCGGCCCACCGGATCCTGAGGGGGGGAGGCACCCATGCGAGTGGTGCACCCACAGCTGAAGCCAAAACCAAAACTAAACTTCCAAGCTGAAGTTTTGAAGACAAAGCGGTAAGTGAAGCCAGGCCCTGAGGCTGCGAAGAGTCTGACGTCCTGATGTCTCAGGACGCTGGGACGCTGGAGGCCTGGTGCTGCGTGACGGAACCTTCCCAAGATTGGGGCTGGCTGGGTGGCGGAGGGTTCCAGCTGGACCGCCTTCTCCAGATGGGCATCGGATGCCGAGGTTTCCCCATCTTCCTTCCTGACTGGCACTGCTGGTGCCCATCCTGAGCAGACTCCGCAGCCGCCTCCAATCACAGGATCAGTCCCCCAGGCTGCCGAGGACCTTTCCTGCAGCGAGTTCTGACAGGATTCCGAAGCGAATCCAGACGTGGCGACGAGAGCCTCTCAGAAAGGGCCCAGGAAAAGAAAAACACATCAGAGCCCTTCCTCGTCTTCATCATCCCACCTCCGTCGCGTCCTTTTCGTGCTGACCCACGGCCCACCTCTTATAGGGGACCTCAAAAATCCGGCAGGCTCGGAAGCATTTCTCTCAACGCCACACCGAGGCCCAACAACACCCTGAAGACAAAGACTTCCGCGCCCAACCCCGGCCGCATCAGCGGGCGCGCGGTTCAAACGCCCCCCCCCTAAAATTCTAAACGGGCTTCCGCCTGCGGGGAGGGGGCAGCGGGGTGATCCACTCCTTCCAGTTTGGATCTTATTAAGGAGTGGATGGAGCCTGGTTTGGGCGATGCTGCAAGGGACGTCCTCAAAACCTGCCTGGTTTGGCCGCTGGTTTGGCCCAGTTTGGCCACACGCCCCGCCTGAGACACCCTCAGAATTTGCCTGGTTGTGCCCCTGGTTTGCCCTGGTTTGGGCCTGGCTTCGTTTGAGACGTCCTCGTTTGCCTGGTTTGGCCTTGGTTTGGTCTGAGTTGGTCCCAGTTTCGCCTGAGACGTCCTCAAATTTGCCTTGTTTAGCTTGGTTTGGGCCCAGTTTCGCCTGAGATGTCCTCAACATTTGCTTGGTTTGGCTTTAGTTTGGCTTGGTTGGGGCCCGGTTTCGCCTGAGACGTCCTCAAAAGTTGCCCAGTTTGGCCTGGTGTGGGTCCAATTTTCGCTCGAGACGGCCTCACGAGTTGCCTGGCTTGGCCTGGGCGATGAGAAAAATCAACGAAAGCATGCACGATATAGTAACATCCGTCATGGGCGCCATGTGATCTAAACACACCGTTGGATGTGTCACGTAACATTTGACACTGAATTGATAAGTAACGCACGGCGTGGAGGGTGTGTACAAACCAAAATAATGGCACGGTGCCATGAATACCCTATGTAGTCCACATGTAACACGACTGCGCTGTAAAAAGGCGGGCAGCATGGGCGTGGACATTCTCAACACGCTGTGAATCAGAATGGGTGCGTGTGGCGGCGTTCGGAGAAAACCTTTCTGAGGCTGTAGATCCCCGTGAAACAACCACCTAGAAATAACGCAACAACCTTCGGCAACTTCTCCCTCATTCTCATAATCCTCATCATCCTACTCCTCTCAAGCACATGTGGCCCAAGGCGCGGAGATCCTTTTGGCTCAACCTTCGCCTTGGCGTCACACCCGGATGCCTCCTCGTGGCGCTTGAGGGGCACGTCTCATGATTGACAAGGGCTCCAATCGGGTGGACATTGGCTAGATCCGGGTGAACTCGTCTCCCATCGGCTACGCATGCAGTTTTGTTGGGGCATTGGGCAGAGGCATGACATTATGGAGGGTATCATTACGCCGTTTCGCGACGTGGTGCCTTCTCCAGAAGGGTTGCTTTTGGCGAGGTCCACGAGTTGGCAAGTTATGCAGTTTTCCTTACTGAACCTTTCAGGGCCATGGCTAAGGCAGAACAAGCTGGAGGGTACTTCCATTTGGGCTGCTCTGGGTATGGTCAGTGTTCACGGGAGTTTTCTGCAAGTTCCGACCCAGGGCGGGGGTTGGGTTGGAGGCACGCGGGCTTCGAGCCCATCTAAGCCCTCCATCCCTCGGCCTAGGCGTACACCTGCCGCTCATCTTCCTGAAGGTCCGTCCCATGCCGAGGGTTGGGTTGGAGGCACTGGGGCTGCGAGCCCACTTAAGCCATTCACCCCTCGGCATGGGCGTAACATCTCTTTTTACAGTTTTGTATGCTTCTGTATCCTGCTCTGGGTTGTATTGCACGCATGCTGACTTTGTGCAAGTATTGCAGTCTGGGGCTTCTGCTGTCGGTGGCACTTCCGTTGTTCGGCTGGGGCGAGGTGGTCTGTGGGTGAGGCGAGCTCCTTCCTTCATTGCGAGAGTTAGCCCAGTGATCCACGGCTAGGGCCTCATAGAGTCAAACTCACTTCTGCTTAGCCACTGGATATGTCAATGTGGTGTCAATTCGGCGGCACAGCTTCAGTTTTTTATATTTAATTGGGCTGGCATGATAGTTCTCTCGTGGTATTGCTGTTATCAGGTCGTGTATGGGTCGGCTTCTGCGTCTGGGCAATATTCAAAAGTTCTCTGCTGGTACCTGTCCTACGTCCTCTGCTTCGGCGTCTTCGTTTTCGAGCTCAGAGGGCGGCTTGTGTAATATCACTACGTTATGGGGGTAGTCCTGGTAGTACTCCTCCTACTCCTCGTCTTTCCTCCCCCTCCTTCTCAGATCTCTGGACCCCTTCACCAAATCCGTCTATTCATCCCAGGCCGTTTTGTTCGCGGCCCCAAGGCGCGGAAAAAAGCCTGGACGCCGAAAGTAAGGGAAAGCCTCCAGCACGAGTTCTGTTGTTTCGAGCCGCTGAAAGGCATTGCATAAACATGAACTTCCTGAGGTCCACGCGGATTTCTTGGATCCGCACTGGACCCTTCGAAAAGGATGAGACTCGCACGGACCCGAACTCGTACGGGCGGAACTCGCACGGGGGGAGCTCGCACAAGGGGAAACTCGCACGGGACGGAACTCGTGCGGACGGAACTCGCACGCGCGGAATTCGCATGCACTGAATTCCCACGAAGAGGAACCTGCACGGACGGAACTCGCAGGAACGAAACTTGCACGAGGCGGAACTCGCACGGGCGACCGCGTTCAACAAATCCACGCGCGGCGAAACTCCTACGCGAGCGAGTTCCGTCCGTGCGAGTTCCGCGTGTGCGAGTTCCGCGTGTGCGAGCTCCGCCTCGTGCGAGTTCTGTCCGTGCCAGTTCCGCGGTGCGAATTCCGCGCGCACGAGTTCCGCGCGAGCGGACTCAGGCGCTAGAGGCGCCGCTAGGCGGGGCGGCATCGCCGATCCAAGCAATCCGCGCGGAACTCCGAAAGTTTACGTTTTGCAGTTTTTCTTCTTGGAGCCTCCTCCCGCGATCCCAGCATGCCCCCCAGGGCAGACTGCAAGGGGGGCAGAACCCATACTCTTGAGGAGGGCGCGGCCGATGCGGCTGCCGTCCTCCCTGCCGAGGGTGAAAAGCACGTACGCCGCCTCCGCCGCCAGCTCTGGTCGTCGTCTGTCCGTCGTCGTCGTCCTCGTCGTCCTCATCCTCGTCCTTGTCCTCGTCCTCGTCTTCGTCCTCGTCCTCATTGTCCTCCTCGTCATCACCCTCGCGCTCGTCTTCGTCGCGTCCTCCTCCTCCTCCTCCTCCGCATCCTCCTCCTCCTGACTTCTGATCTATATATAATATATAATATATATATATATATATATATATATATATATATATATATATATATATATATTTCCTACTCTCCACCACAACCGACCGATAGCAACCACAGCCGGGACATCCTGCGTGTGAACAAGAAGCCTGGCGAAGGACCCAACCATACGCAACCACGAACACCGCGAAGCGGGTCACAAGAAGAATGGGGGGCGGGGGGCGACATGGGCGGGGTTGAGCATGTGATTCCTGCCTGTAGGACCTTCGGTTGGGCCCTGGCTGGGGCCACGAATCGTGTGAGCGGTGTGCCGAAACGGAGGCGGGTACCACACGCAAGCCCTGCCAGTGGGGCCCTCGGTGGCGCCCCCCATGGTGCCACGACACGTGCGAACGTTGTGGGGCCACTACACGTGTGAGTGGCGTGCCGACATGGAAGCGGATACCGCATGCGAGCCTTGCCACTGGGGCCTTCGGTGGACTTCCCGATGGGGCCACGAAACGTGTGAATGGTGTGCCCACATGGAGGCGGGCATTGCATGCGAACCCTGCCACAAGGCCTTTCGGTGGAGTTCCTTATGCGGCCACGAAACATGCACAGGGTGTGTCGAATTTGAAGCGGGTACCGTATGCGAACCCTGCCACTGGGGCCTCTGGTAGTGCTCCCTACCCTATGGGGCAACGAAACGTGTGAGGGGTGTGCCGGCATGGGGGCAGGTACGGACCGCAAGGGCCTCTGGTGGCGCTCCCCATGGTGCCACGAAACGGGTGAAGGGCGTGCCCTGCCACTAGGGCCCTCGGTGGACTTCCCGATGGGACCACGACACGTGTGACAGGCGTGCCGAAGTGAGGGCGGGCACCGCACGTGAAACTTGCAACTGGGGCACTTTGTGGAGCTACCGATGGGCCAGCGAAACGCGCGACAGGCGCGCCAACATTGGCGTGGCAACCTGGGGCCGAAGACGGCGACGGCGATGAATACGTTGATGATGAAGATGGCGATGCGGATAATGATGACGACGATACCGATGACAATGATGATGTTGACGATGACGCTGACGATGACGACGGTGATGACGGTGATGATGATGATGATGATGATGAAGATGATGATGATGATGATGATGATGATGATGACAATGACGGTAATGACGATTTATTCGTTCATTCAACCACATGTGAGTTCCCTGGACAGCACACGTGAAGGGCAGTAAATTGCAATTCCTGAACCTCGGGTCAGTGGGCCACCACGACCCTTCGGCCAGCAAGTTCTATTTCTAAACACACCATACGCGCATGTGGGGTTCCATGGCACTGGCCCCGTGAGCGCACCCATTCCCATGGAGCTTAGCGACTCCAGGAGAGGAGGGCGCTCGGGGCCATCGAAGACTAACCTCAAGGCGCCACTCACGTCATGCGACGTGGACAGTACACCAATTCAGCTGAAAGATTCTCCATCACGTCCTGATCTGTGATGGCGGACATCGTGGAATCCAGGGGTACCAGCGTGAAACTATCCAGCATGACCCGGTTTGTCGCAGACAATGTGGAATCCAAGAGCACCAGCGTGGAATGTTCCAGCACGTCTGATTCGCGATCGCGCACCGCGCAAGATTCCAAGAGCATCACAGTGAGGTTCTCGAACACGTGTTGACCTGTGATAGCGAAAACCGTGATACACATGAAAACCTGTGTGAAGCCCTCGAACATGACCTGATCTGTGATCGCGAACGGCGTGAAGTCTACGAGCAGAAGCGTGACACTCTCGAACACGACCTGGTCTTTGAACGTGGACGACGCAACACGCTCGAGCACGACCTGGTCTGTGGTCGCGGTCTGAGCGGAATCGAAAAGCGCCGTAGTGGAATGTTCGAACGACTCCTCGTTTGTTTTCGCGGAACTCGTGAAATCCAACAGCACCAACGCGCATTTGTCGAGCGCGCCCTGATTCGTGATCGCGGACATCGCAAAATCCAGAAACACAGGCGCGAAATTGGCGAGCGCGTCCTGATGTTTGATCGCGAACATCGTGAAACCCAAGGGCTCAACGTGAGATCCTAAAGCACGTCCTGCTGTGCGCTCGCGAACATCCCGAAATCCGAACGCACCGGCGTGAAACTCCCGAGCACGAGCCTGGTTTGTGATCACGGACATTATGAAATCCAAAGACGTCAGCACGAAATTCTCGAGCGCGACTTAGTCTGTGATCGCGGACATCGTAAAATCACGAGCACCAGCGCGAAATGTTCCAGCACGTCCTGATATGCGATCGCGGACATCGCGAGACCCAGGAGCGCCAGCGTGACATGCTCGAGCACGACCTGAACTGTGATCGCGACCGTCGTGAATTCCAAGGGCACCAGCGCGAAATTCTCGAACGCGACCTGGTCTGCGATCCTGGACAGCGTGAAGTATACGAGCACCAGCGTGAAATTCCCGAGCACGTCCTGACATGTGACTGCGGACAGCGTAACGCTCTCCAGCGACTTCTGACCTGTGACCGCGGCCCCCGTGGACACCAAGAGTTCCAACGTGAAAAGCTCAAACGCATCCTGATATGCGATCGCACAGATCGATATTATCCCGGGCAATTGCATGACATGTTCCCGAACGTCCTGAAACGTGATCATAGAATATACAAATGGATGATGTGACGCGAACGGGCCCGCCCGATTGTCCCACCTGCTCTCGCAAGAGGGAGATATGCCGCGCTAAAAAAACCTGAACAACACGGCAACGCGATGATGATTATGATGATCATGCTGATGGTGATGACGGTGAAGATGATGATGATGATGATGATGATGATGATGATGATGATGATGATGATGATGGTGATGATGATGGAGATCATGAAGATGATGGTGGCTATGCTGAGGATGCTAAATATGATAATGAGCACGACGATGTATATAACGATGATGCCATTGATGACGGAGGTGGCATACACGGCACGGCAAAAACGTGAGGAGGGAGGAGGAGGAGGAAGGAGGAGGGGAAGAAGCGACGAGGAACACAGTGCGCAGTCTTTTTTTAACAAAGACCCACCACCACAGGGTGACTGGGAACACATACAAAAACTACGTCCCAACATGGACATTCGGTCGTCCATGTTGCGATATGCGTGGCAAGCACGGAACGGGGCGCCCGTCCCGCGCGAAAGGCCGAAGCGTCGCTCTCGCCTCGGGGCCCCGAGCATTTCTGGTGAGTCGAACTTCCGTCGGGGCGCGGCGCACATTTTTCGCGCGCCACTTCGTCGTCGACGCGCGAAGTGGCGAAAGTGTCGCTCTCGCCTCGGCGACGCGCAGATGATTCGTGAAAACGGGGCTCCCGCCTCGGTGCGGCGCACATTTGTCACTCGCCAAGTGCGGAGGGGCCCGTGCAAGCGTGCGATTTGCCGCCGTCGCCCAATTTCCGCACGCATTTCGCTCGGAGGTGGCGTTCCCGCGCGGGCGCGGCGCATGTATCGTTCGCCGAAGCGCACGAAAACGAAAACAGCACCGGGGCCGCGCGAGAGCGGGCGAAATGAAGAGCTCGCCCAAGCGCCGCGCAGGCTGCGACTGGAAGACGTAAAGCGGCAAAGCTGTATCAGCGCGGCGCACGTTTCGTCTTCGCTGCGACCTACATAGCCGGTAGCGACGGATCTGTCAAAAAATCCATGTGTTTTGTCCACACATGGGCATTACACCGTCCATGTTGCGATTGGCGTGGCAGGCCTGGGACGGGGCGCACATCCCGCGCGAAAAGCCGAAATGACGTTCCCGCCTCGGCGGCGCACTCACTTTTCCAGAGAAGCGAGCTACCGCCGGGGAGCGGCGCACACTTGTCGCATACATTTTCGCCGACGCGCTGGCGGAAAGAAATGTCGTTCTCGCCTCGGCGCCGCGCAGACTTCGCCTGAAACTGGCGTTTTGGGCTCGACGCGGCGCGTATTTTTCAGCTTCGTTACTTTTGGGGGGCTACGCGGAGTGGGCGAGTTGTCGCCTTCGTCCAAGTTCCACGTGCATTTAGCACGGAAAAGACGCTGCACCGCTGGCGCGGCGCATGCTTCCTTCGCCGAAGTGCATGACAGCGACAGAGGCAGCGGGGCCGCGCGAGAGCAAGCGAAATGCCGACCTCGACCAAGCGCCGCGAAAGTTGCGAAGGCGTCTCGTCTTCCCCACGCCCATCGGAAGGTTTGCCATTACCTCCCTGCGCGGCCCGCGTAGTTTGCCCTTTTCGCAAAATCATCGGAAGCGGAGCAGCGAACGAGCGCCTTCCGTTTGCGAGGTGGGAGCGCGTCCCAATCTCAACTTCAGGTTGGGCCATTACTGATTCTCATGTTGTGCGAAGGTGGAAATAAGCGGGGGCCCGCGGCTCGCTCCACCTGTATTACACTGACTCCTACCCTTTATTCCTCAAACAATGCTTGATTGCACTCAGGGAGTTCTTACATGTGGAATCACGATCTGGCACTGTCTGGCTGTCCGGCGGCTCAATGGTCGCCGTCGCCGCCCCGTCGCCGCCTCGTCGCCACCCGTCATCTCGGCCCGGTGGTGGTCTGGCGGTTCCGCGGTCGCCGTCGCCACCCCGTCGCCGCCACGTCGCCTCCCGTCGACTGGGCGTGGGTGGCGATCTGGCGGCTGTTTTGCCGTCGCCGCCCCGTCGCCACTTCGTCGCCGCCCGTCGTCAGGGCATGGATGGCGGACTGGCGGCTATGTTGCCGCGCCGTCGCCGCCCCGTCGCCGCCTCGTCGCCGCCCAATCGCCTCCTTCCACCACGCACATAGCACAACATAGATTGCACAACATAGATTGCACAAAACATATATTTTCCACCAAAGATGTAA